TTGCTTAAATTATTCAGGGTTTTATCGTATAAAAATTTTAGGGTTTAATTTTTAAACCACTAAACAAAAAATGTTTTCATTGAATCGCACTGCATATAGACCTTAGGTACATTTGCATTAATAGGGCCTGTTAGGACATATGCATATATAAAAAAAGAAGAAAAAAAAAAATCGAATCGGGTTTGTCGGCCCATTCTTTTCCCCCCCGTTTTGCTTTTATTGCGCGCGACCCATGCTCTCTTTTCTATTTTCACGCGGGCCGGCCCATTTCCCACGGCCCGGCCCGCGCACTGTTCACCTCCCCCTCCCCAGTCAACGTTTCAGAACGTACGGGGGAGGAACAGTGACAGAACGCCACAGATGGACGGAAGAGAAAGCAGAGGCGCGAGGGGGGGCTGGCAGCGCGATCCGCGGGTCGCGAGATCGGCCGGCCACGGCAGCCAGGCGGTGGCAGAGGCCATGCGCGCCTGCCGGCAGCAGGGGCCACGCGGACGTGCCGGCCAAGTCCTTTAAGACCAGATCTGGTCGTGAGGGGAACTGGGGGAGAGATCGGAGAGAGCGAGAGATCCGAGAGAGAGAGAGAGTTCCGGAGAGAGAGAGACGTCGGTCCTCCGCCGGCGACCGCCGTGCCCAAGCCGCGGCCGACGATCCTCTGGCACGGTAGGTCCCGGTCTCGAGCGCTCGCCGGTTTTTTGTTTTGGTTTGGGTCCGATTCGGAGTTGGTCCCCCGAGGATCCCGGCTCGTAGGTGTGCGAGGCGCGCGAGTGCAGCCCGATCCACCGCGTTCGCCCTCCATTCGCCACCGCCGAGTCGGGTAGGAACCGTGGCCGCCTCCCCTGCTTTCGTTTTTACTCTGCTTTTTTGGGGGGTCACTGGCCGGAGCTCGCGGCCGTCCGGCTTGCGCGAGTTCCGGCCAGTGACACCTCGGGTTCGTCCTACTGCTCTGAGTGGTGTTGGGTGTGGATTTCGGGTGTGTTTGAGCCTCGATCGTGCTTAAAATCCCTCGCTTCCGTCGACGCTTGCAAGGTGTTTGATGATATGCCTAAACCGTTTCTTGAATCTGTCTCTGTTTCGTTGTGCTTTCTGTTTGGGGGGCTGGAACGCCGGAGGATCCCCGCTGGGAATCGGTTGCCGCGGCGGCGACGCGGGCAGAGGAGGCCCGAGGGTAGGGCGGCGGTCCGGACGCGACCGCGAGGTGAGGTAAGGCGGCCAGTCCCTCGTCGGGATCTGGCCGGTTCTCGATCGGTCGACTTGCCAGCCTCTCGCCGAGGCTCGGCCGGTCGGTCCCTGGTGGTCGCCGGTCGCCAAGTGGCGACCCGGCTGGAGGACGCTCGCCGCTCCTCGTCGGGGCGGCGATGCGGGCCAAGGTGGAGCGTCGGCTGCGGAGGCCGGGGCTCGGGGAAGCCGGTGTCCACGCCGGCCGGCGCGTGGCGGTGGCTCGGACGTGCGCTCGACGTCGGAGCTTGGCGGCCGGCGTCTGAGGCGAGCTCGGGGCGCGGTGTGGCGGCCGCGAGCCGGGTAGGGCAACACACGTCCGGGTCGGGTCACGGGTCGAAACCGGGTAGGGTTGTGTTAGGATGTGGGCTTTTGTCTTGCTTTGTCCTTTTTTAGTGGGCTGGGCTTTTGTTTTTTTTTTAAAAAAAATTTCGGGCTGGGCCTTTTTCTTGCTTTTAATTCGCCAGACCGGGTTCAATAAATGAACCCGGTCCGATCGTGGACCCGGGCCGGCGCGCCCGGGTCAGTCCCGATCCGGGTCGGATGTGGAGATCCGACCCGGATCCGTTTTAATTTTGTTTTATTGTTTTAATATAAAATTAATTTAATTTTTTTAAAAAAAAAATCATCAATTTTTTTTAAAAAAAAAATTTCAAAAAATATATTTCATCCTGGTCGGATGTGGAGATCCGACCCGGTCTGTTTTATATTATTTTCGTTATTTTAATATTAAATTTTTTTATTTTTTTATTTTATTTTTTTTGTTTTTAAAAAAAAAACTAAAAAAAAAAATTTTGAAAAATAAAAAATTTTATTTGGACTTTGGAATTAGCTTTTCTTGCCCCTCTTGCATGATTAATGTCATTACTGATTGCATGTTGCTTGGTTCACACATTTTGAGCGGTGCGTTTAATTTAACCTCGCATGTAGTCGATTATGTATGTTAGGTTCATGTAGTGATTGTCGCTTCCCCTAGCTTGGTTAGGAATGAATTTTTGAGACTCCCAATTAGTGTGAGCATGTTAGGTGGCGAATTGAGCAAGATTAGGTACCGAAAGGGCACTAATTAGTCAATTAGTGTAATCAAGTCCCCGTACCCATTGAATCTCTGGTTCGTAGAAGTAAAATATTTCTCCCGTGCTTTACTTGGGTGTCTAATCGACCCACCAAGAATCGATTAGTGGCGACTCCTAGATAAAATTGATTTGCATGTTAACAACTTAAACTTAAGTCGCGAATTGGTATGAGCTTGGGAGAGCTCGAGCTAGGTTTAACTTAGTAATCCATTAGCCAAACTCCTTAGGCGGCGGGGCCGGTTCGGGGAGGTCGCGACAGCTTGGCGACTCCGCTGGGGACTTGATAAAATTCTTAGTGGACTTAGGCCGTTTATCTTGTTCAATTATGTCCTTAATGTGAATGTTCATGCAGTTGGGAGTTATAAGGGAATAGATGATTGTTAATCCTTGTTTTGCAGGTTTTGGGGTTTTGGAATGAATGTTTATTTTGCATTTTTGAAGTGGTGATTGCATACGAATCGTTGTGTATGCCTTTGTTGCGTTAGCACTACACTATGGCACACACACAACCCGCCGTCGGTCCTGGGCCGCACTAGGAATGTTTAGGATGGTATTGAGTTGGATACGACTTCGACCGCGAGGCCGCGTAGTAGAGGTTGCCCAACTCAATCCCGAAAGCTTCTTTCTTGGTGTCGAGAATGTTTACCTTTGCCCGCGAGGCCGCGTCGCATTGAGGTATCATTCCCGACTGAGCCGGAGTTGCGAGGACTTGGCTTAGTACGCGAGGCCGCGACTAGTCATTCCACCCTCGTAGCTCCAATTTGTTAAGCCGTTTAGAATAGAAGTCGAGCCACACGCTTCATGCGTATGTCCATGTGGTTGTCATAATTGTTTGGTGAAGTAAGTTTCCTACCATTTTCCTTTTCAATTTACTTACTTTTATGCTTTGGCTGGTCCATGACAGTTAGGTTGATCGAGTCTTGGTCTATATGCAATGGGAAGATCCGACATTCGATTCGTTCCTACTCCGAAGGCCGAGCTCAAGCATTGGTGGGATCAGTTGGATCGTGAGGGCCGAGCCTATGTGGAAAACAAACTTGGTCGCCTTTTGCCTCTTCTCGACATCGACATCCAAAGTGGGGTCATGCAAGCAATAGCCCATTTTTGGTGTCCCCAAACGTCCACGTTCATATTCCATAAGCATGAGTTGACTCCGACTTTAGAAGAATATAGCATTGCCATAGGAAAACCTTTAGATTTGGAGTTAATCGATCCACCCCTCGGGTCTGAATCGGAATCAATTTTGTCTGACTTTCTTAGGATGAACAAGAATCAAATCGGAAGGGTGCTAAAAGAAAACTGCCATGCATGCCCACTTTCTTTCTTAGGTCAGTGTTTTGCAAATGCTGAGACCCTTTTAAAAGGTAAGATCTTTATTCTAGCTTTCTTCGGGTTCATAATTTTTCCCTTTCGCAAGAATGCTATTGATCCTTCCGTTGCATGGGTGGTCAAACAAGTATGTGGTGGAGTTAGCTTTGTCAATACTATCTTGGCTGAAACATTTTTATCACTCACCCGATTTAAAGAAAATGAAGAAAAAGTTTTCCGTGCTCCTGTCGAGCTTTTACAAATCTGGTTTTTCTCTCATACAAGTGAATTTGGTATTCGCATGAATATCAACCACATTAGTGAGTCTAATCACCCTATTGAGGCATTTAAGAATCATCAGGATCGAACTCCGAATCTTTCTTTCTCAGAATGGGTAAATTTGTTGAAAAATCCGAAAACCAAGATTTTCCTATGGCAAGCTAAGTGGTTCCGACTTCGCGAGGGACGTCTCTCTTATGGCAATAATGAACCAATCCCATTGCTGGGAATCACCGGCATCACTTCCTACTACCCGCTCCGAGTGGCCCGCCAATATCGGGTCGTCCAGGATCTACCACCTCCTCTCAAGCCAGATTCGCTACAAGTCCGATTCACCAGAAAGGGAGGAGATTACAAAAGGGAGCTTCGCCATGCTGAACAGGCTTGGCTTGCCTGCCATACTCAGAAGTTAAATTGGCCTGAAGACGAGCTCGAAGGGAAAGAAAAGACTTATTATGCCACAGCCCGATACATCCGTCGGCATAAGATCCCGACCGAGTTTCTCCCAAAGATCCCGGACGTGACCAAGAAGCCAACGCGCCAAGCAGAAATCAACTATCTCAAGAGGAAGACAGAGAAGGCCGAAGAAAGCTTGAAGCGTGTCGCCAAGGAGAATAGGCAGTTGCGTCGAGCATTGGCTTCCCATTCGCATATAGATCAAGAGGAGTAGGATAGATTGAGTTTGTCGTTTTGGGTTTAGTCATTCTGTTTTTAGGATTCTCATTTTATCTTATTTTGTTTTATTAGCTTGATGTTTAGGAGCTTTGAGTTTTCAATTTTAGTTCACTTTTCAAGTTTAGGAGTGTTACTCAATTAAGAACATTTTAATGAATGAAAGCGGCTAGACCATTGTCATGGACCGGTATTCTATATGAATCATGTGCTTATGTATGTTTGCTTATTTATGATTCAGGTGATTACGAACCGTCCGTATTTGTCAATTCGAGCTCAATCAACGCACGGAGAGTGAAATCGAGAATGAGGAGCTTTTTCCTGTAGCCGTCACAACCGGGCTTTAGCTAGTGCATCCGTTCCACCAAGATAACCGAGACGGCTAAAAGGAGATCCCCGATCCGAACCCGTGCAAAAGTCAGAATGGAAAGCGAAGAAGCCAATGCGCGCATGACCAACATGGAAAACCAACTGGCCCAACTTACCGCCATGATGGCCGAAATAAGTCAGAAACTCCAAGATCCTCCGTCTGCACATGCCACCGAGGCTTCTGTCCCCACCTCGTCAGGGCATACTCCCCCGTTAGCCATTGATCCACATGCCACGGATCCTCCTGAAAAAGGGACAGCATCAGATTCCCCTTCTGTCACACCGATCATTGTAAATCTGGACCCTGTTCCAAGGGAGGAGACTATCTCCCGCCTCGATGAGGAAAGCGCAAGGCGCCTAGCCAAGATGGAGGAACGACTCTGTGTTCTTCAAGGGTACGAGATGCGAGGGGTTGATAAGTTATCTCCATATGCTAAAGTGAAAGTCCCTGAAACCTTCAAGGAACCGGAATTTAGCATGAAATATGATGGCACCGGTTGCCCTAAGACTCATCTCAAGTATTACTTGAGAAAAATGGCTCGCTATTCCGACAACGTACCACTCCTCATCCAGACCTTCCAAGATAGCTTGATTGGCCCTGCCTTGTCATGGTTCATTGCGCTGGATGTTGAGACGATCACAGCATGGGAAGATCTTGCCGAAGAGTTCCTTCAGCAGTACAGGTTCAACTCTGAAATCATCCCCACGAGAGAAGACTTGGTTCGGCTAGAAAAGAGAAGGAATGAACCTTTCAAGGCATTCGCTCAAAGGTGGAGGACGATGGCATCACAAGTAAAGCCCCCGCTGATCAAGAGGGAGATGAGGCAACTTTTTCTGAAAACCCTGCCACCTGAGTATTTTCACGGAATGTTAACTTCTGGATGTCAAACATTTTCCCAACTGGTGGAAGTGGGCGAAGGGGTAGAATGGGCGATTGTCGATGGGAGAATACCCGCAGGGAATAGCAAAGGATTCCCAACAAGGAGGAGCAAGGAAACCGCTGTCGAAGTTGCATTTGTCCAAGAGCCGTCTAAGTCTTTCTCAGCACCCCCACAAAAGCCATCAATCGTACAAGGGCATGCGCCCCAAGGGCATGATCGAAATAAGAGATTTCCTCATAGGGAATTCTCCCCGCTGCCAAAATCCTTGTCAAAGTTATTGCCCATGCTCATTGAGAGGAGGATGGTAGCCAAAGAAGTACCTAGGGACAATCCTCCAAGATTCCCTGGGTTTGACATGACCAAGACATGCGAATACCACCGGGGGGAAAGGGGGCATGACACGGACAATTGCTTTGCACTAAAGATCAAGATTCAAAACCTGTTGGACAAGGGAATTCTATCGTTCGAGAGAGCGCGACCCAATGTGAAGCAAAATCCTTTGCCCGACCATGCCGAGGGCGTAAATGTGGTGTTCGAAAAAGTGAACGTGAGCAAACAAACCTTCATGGTGAACATCCCAAGGCTATACAAAATTCTTCAGCTAGCTGGACACCACGAAGGAGGAAAGGATGTGATGAGGGAGGAAAAATTAGACTATGTTCGTAGAATGATGAGCATGGGGGTAATCGGGAGTGCTGATATGGGACAAGGATTAGTCGCCATGACAACACCAGTCGTGATATACTTCTCTGATGAAGATTATGCTAGTGATCAGGAGGTGGAGGATGTCGAGCCAGTGATAATTGATCTCGCAACTGAAGAATTCTCAGCAATCCAGGTTGGAAGGGAGGATATGACGCAAGTTGTGATCGAGCTGCCACCCCTGGAAGAAGAAGGGGTCATAATCCTTGAAGCCCCTCCGGATTTCGATACTAAGGCGGTCCCGTGGGACTACGAAACGGATGAAGTGGATGCTATCACCCGATCAGGTCGCTGCTATGCGCCTGCCGGAGGAATTGAGAAAAAAGCAGTGACCGAAGAAGACGCAAAGCAATTTTTGGCAGTGATAAAAACGAGTGAATTCAACGTGGTAAACCAACTGCGGAAAATGCCAGCCCAAATCTCTCTCCTGGATCTTTTCAAATCTTCTGAGAAACACAAGGATGCCTTATTAAAGGTCCTTAACGAGGTTCATGTCCCGGAGACGATCGACGAAGCCCAGTTAGAAGAATTTGTGGGGACCATCCTGTTGAAGGATCAAATCTCTTTTGCGGACGAAGACTTTCCGGTAGAGGGCCGGAATCATAATAAAGCCTTGTACATTTCGGTTAAGCATCACGATATGATGGTCGCAAGGACATTGATCGATAATGGCTCCGCTTTGAATTTATGCCCGTTAACCACTCTCCGTCTCTTAAAGGTCGATCTAGGGAGGATGCGTACCGCCAAAAATCCCGTACGAGCGTTCGACGGCACTAGAAGGGAAGTAATAGGAGAGATAGAGTTGGAACTCTTGGTCGGTCCCGTGACGTTTCTGGTGCTTTTTCAGGTACTAGACATCCCAAGTGCATTCAACTTTCTATTAGGGAGACCATGGATTCATACTGCGGGTGCTGTACCCTCTAGTCTCCACCAGAAGGTGCGGTTTGTGGTCGACGGCAAGCTTGTTACAGTACATGGAGAAACAGACTTCAAAGTCTATCACGAGACAGCCATCCCGTACGTAGAGCCCGAATGCAAAGAGGAATCCAGTTTCCAAACTCTGGAATTGGTATCTATGGTCCACGTTCCCGTTGGCTCACTCATGGGCACCCCTGAACTGTCCAGGCCGACTCTAGCAGCTGGAAAAATTATGCTCGCAAACGGGTACAACCACGGAGAAGGCCTCGGATTGCATGGGCAAGGGATTCGGAAACCCATCGAAGTCGGGAAAGGTGCGAAGAGGGAAGGCTTAGGGTATCAGAGAAGCCAAGATAATGGAGACCGGGGCAGCCGTGAAGGTCGGGACAACGGAGGTCGAGGCAATGATGGAGGCCGAGGTAATTGCGGAGGCCGAGGCGGCTCTAGGGGACGAGGTAGCAATGTAGGCCGAAATAGTTGTGGAGGTCGAGGTAGCAACGGAGGCCGGGGCAACCAAGGAGGCCGAGGCGCAGGTCAGGGGGACCACGGCGGACATATTGGAGTGGAAAAAGGCCGCCGAGGCTTATTACTCCCCCTATTGAAAGAGATGTTCCCCGGGCCTCCGAAGATGCTACATGAGGAAGAGGCGGCCATCGACAGTATAGCTAAGCTATTCGAGGAGAATGTCATATGCACTATCCTGACCTGTGAGGAAGCTGAATCTTCTGGAAGTGTCGCCGACCCTGCAGAGTAGGGCGGTTCCCATTAGTGTTGTTATTTGCTTTATGTCCTCTCCCCTACGTGGGAGCTTAGCGTTGTTTCAATTTGCTAATCTAAACTCGTTTGTAATGAAAACTTTGTTCAGCCCCGAATCTTGGAGCCGTTGGTTCGGGGCGGTATGTGTTGTAATGCGGCCTTATCCTTTTAATTCAATGAAATGCGTGCATGTTTTATTAAGGACACGTGGAACCGTACCAAACTAGTCCTATGATGGTCGCTGAGGGCTGGGGTTCCACGTGCTCCCAGTTTTCATGGTCTTCATGAGCAAGGAAATCCGATGACACGAGGATGAGCTCTTAAAAGCCTTTTCCAAAAAAAAAATTTCAAAAGCATTTTCGAAATGGCATGTACCATGTTTTGTGTCCTAACTCATCTCATCACATCTCAGGCATCACATTATGCATAATCATGGTAAGGACGCATGTGATTCGGATTCGCACGAATGGAATCTCTCAGATATCGATAGCGATGACAATGATCCGAAGGGGATTGAGCGTGAATGGAAGCGACATGAGGAATCAAGGCCATTAACAGTGGAGCAAACAATCACCATAAACTTGGGTAACGATGAAAACGTCAAGGAAATAAAGATCGGGGCAAGTCTTTCGAAAGCAGAGGCCGAAAGAATGGTTCGCCTTCTTGAAGAATATCAGGATGTGTTCGCCTGGACGTACGCTGACATGCCGGGATTGGATCCAGAGATTGTAGAGCATGCTCTACCAACTGACCCCGACATACTGCCAAGGAAGCAAAGACTCTGAAGGACCAAGCCAGAGTTGTCCAAGAAAATCGAGGAAGAGGTTATGAAATTGCTAAAAGCGGGATTCATCGAAGTGTCGCATTACTCCGATTGGATATCAAACATTGTGCCAGTGATGAAGAAAGACGGTCGAGTCAGGGTTTGTGTGGACTATCGCGACTTAAACCGAGCTAGTCCGAAGGATGACTTTCCACTCCCACATATAGATGTCTTGGTCGATAGTACTGCAGGATTCGAATTGATCTCCTTCATGGATGGATTTTCAGGGTATAATCAAATCCGTATGAAGAGAGAGGATAGGAGCAAGACCTCATTTATAACCCCGTGGGGGACCTTTTGCTACAAGGTGATGCCTTTCGGTCTGAAAAACGCCGGGGCAACATATCAAAGGGCCATGGTCGCGTTATTTCACGACATGATGCACAAGGAGATCGAGGTGTACGTAGACGATATGATTGCGAAATCAAGACGAGGCGAAGACCATGTCGAAGTTTTGCAAAAGTTGTTTGATCACCTCCGAAAGTTTAAGTTGCGCCTCAACCCCGCGAAATGTGTATTTGGGGCAAAGTCTGGAAAGTTGTTAGGGTTTATGGTCAGCAACAAAGGCATCGAGATTGACCCGTCGAAGGTAAAGGCCATTTGTGACTTACAGCCTCCGGCCACTGTCAAAGAGGTCCGCAGTTTGTTGGGACGGTTAAATTATGTAGCAAGATTTATCTGCTAGTTGTCAGAAACAGCAAGGCCATTTTTCAAACTCTTGAAGAAGAATGCGAAAATCGAATGGGACGCCGAATGTCAGGAGGCCTTTGAAAAGATAAAGTATTATCTGACTCATTCCCCGATCCTGGTCCCGCCAGTGCCCAATGTTCCGTTAATTTTGTATCTAACTATCCATGATGAATCGCTGGGAGTCATGCTGGCCCAAAAAAGGCCGGACGACGGGAAGGAACGCGCAATATATTATCTCAGCAAGAAATTCACTACCCCCGAGGTGAACTATCCGGAAGTTGAGAAGACGTGCATAGCCTTGGTCTGGGTGTTACACAGGCTACGCCAATACACCCTCCATCACCAAGTTCTGCTAGTGACTGAGAATGATCCTATCAAGTATCTCTTAGAGAAGCCAGCCTTGGTGGGGAAGCTGGCCAAGTGGCAGATTCTAATTTCAGAATTCGACGTGCAAAGTCTGGGGCAAAAATCCGTAAAGGGCAGAGCCATAGGGGACATGTTAGCGGAAAATCTTGAAAAAGCGGGAGACCCCGATGAAGATGGTGGCATGGATAGGCAGGTCTTATTTGCGTCGAATGACAAATGGACCATGTACTTCGACAGTGCAGTCAACTTATCTGGTTCCGGTACTGGGGCAGTCATCGTCTCCCCGGATAGTCAGCACTACCCCGTGGCTGCCAAATTGACTTTCCCTTGCACGAATAACATCGCGGAATACGAAGCGTGTATTCTTGGCCTCCAAGCTGCTGTTGACATGGAGATCCAAAAATTGCAATTCTATGGCGATTCGGCCCTCATTATCCTTCAAACCGAAGGCAAGTGGCGAACGCGGGATCCAAAACTAGTCCCGTATCATGAGTTTCTGGAAGAGCTGGTGAAAGAATTCCAGGAAATATCATTCGATTACCTACCCAGGTCGCAGAATCAGTTCGCTGATGCTTTAGCCACGTTATCGTCAATGCTGCAAGCAACAAAAGGCTTGGATATCGAACCATTAAGGATTGAAATCCTTAAGCGTCCAGCCTATTGTATGGTAATTGAAGAAGAGCCTGATGGAGAACCATGGTACCATGACATTCTGAATTACCTGCAGAAAGGTGAGTTCCCTCAAGGAAGTGAAGCATCAGACAGGAAATATCTGATGAAGCTAGCCTCAAGATTTTTCATTAGCGGGGACGCACTTTACAAAAGAGCTTATGACTCAGTGTTACTGAGATGTATTGACGCGAAAGAGGCCAATCGTTTGATGAAAGAGATACATGAAGGGGAATGTGGCCCCCACATGAACGGCCATCTCCTAGCAAAGAAGATCATGCGACTCGGGTACTATTGGTTGGCCATGGAATCTGATTGTATTCAGCATGTGCGATGCTGCCATCGATGTCAAATTTATGGAGATAGGATTAATGCTCCGCCGAGCGAACTCCATCAGATGTCTCAAGCTTGGCCGTTTTCCATGTGGGGGATAGATATAATTGGACCGATCAACCCTAAGGCGTCAAACGGACACAGATTCATCTTAGTAGCAATCGACTACTTTGCGAAGTGGATTGAGGCCAATTCATATGCTAATGTCACCGCAAAGAACGTGGCCAAGTTCATTCGCCGCGATATCATCGCCCGTTACAGAGTTCCGGAAGCAATCATCACTGACAATGGCTCCAATCTGAACAACAAGATCGTGGATGGATTGCTCGATACATTTCGGGTCCGGCATCTGAATTCGTCACCATATCGCCCTCAAATGAATGGGGCAGTTGAAGCAGCAAACAAGAACATAAAGAAGATCTTATCAAAGACTGCTGAGAATTATCGCGATTGGCATGAAAGACTTCCATATGCATTGATGGCATATCGGACATCGATCCATACCTCGACAGGAGTAACCCCTTTTTCGTTAGTATATGGAATGGAAGCGGTCCTACCCGTGGAAGTCGAAATTCCGTCCTTAAGGGTTCTCTCTCAGGCAAAGCTTGATGAGGCCGAATGGGTACGACAAAAGCATGAACAGTTGAACATGATCGATGGGAGCAGATTACAAGCCATATGTCACGGTCAATGCTATCAGAAACGAGTAGCGAAGTCGTTCAATCGAAAAGTTCGTCCCCGACACCTCGAAGTCAACGACTTGGTATTGAGGAAGGTGATATCAATTGCACGTGACCCTCATGGCAAATTTGCCCCGACTTATGAAGGCCCTTATGTCATCAAAAAGATCCTGCCAGGTGGCGCTTTAGTGTTAGTGGAAATGGATGGGCACGAGTTGCCAAAACCTGTAAACTCTGACGCAGTCAAGAAGTATTTTCCATAAATGAAATCAAGGCTGGAAAGCTGTTTCTCGTGCAATCCAAGTCACTTAGTGTCATGCATGTCATGCATACATTTCCATACATGTACATGTGTTTGTGTTTCAGGTATCCAACCGCAACGAAATGAAGGATGGACGACGAAGAGGCTGAAGTACAGGGACGAGAAACATTTCTCACGATAATATTTCTTTGAATGAATGCTCAAAGTCATGTTTGGTGATTGATCGTTATGCGGTTACGAACTTTCCTGTGCATGTGAATGATAAGTCAAAAATGCCCATGTCTTTTGAAAATGGACTTTGTAATCATTCTTATTTGTCTAAGCCGCCAATTCCACTGAGGATCATTAAAATGGACAATTTAATGAGTGGTACGGAAATGCTTGAATATGCTAAATGAGACGTGTCGGAATGATGAAAGGCAAGCCATGTCCCATACACTGTCCCATGTACTAATTCCTAGTGAGTTGAGCAGAAAAATTCCGTGTTCACAAGGTGAAGGGTTATCTCGCAAAAGGTACAGCAACTAAGGTGATGAGAGGCATTTCATTCATCCATCGCAAACGCAATAGGTTACCACTTGCTTAACCCTTTCGAGCTCAAACACTCGTGAAGCTTCTTTCATACTACCCCTGTCAAGAACCACCCCACACCGGGGCAAATCGGAGGTGAGTCGGCATATCGAGGTGAGAAAATGAGTAGAAAATATTCTTGCTTTCACTTGTATCAATCTTCGAGTGCCTCTATTACGAATGAACTAGTACGTGAATTCAAGTGCCTTAGGACGACGAAAAGCGTTTCTTTCTCTATCCTACACACGTATATCCATTGAACAACCCAATTGAGCCTGCAATTTCGCTTCTCATGAACCCAGTTGGTGATCGTCCCCCACACCGGGGCAAGGCAAAAGTCACCACTGTTCGAACATCATGGTCCGGAGTGACGACTAGAGATGAAGACTTTAGAGTCAATAGCATTGTATTGCCTAAGTTCGTCTAGTCCAATCCATAAGAAAAAAAAAGTGAGAACTAGGGGCACGAAAAAGCAGTGTACCTGGTAAAAGCAAGGCCAACGCCCATTGATATAAATGTTGAAAAAAAAAAAAAAGGAAAAAGAAAAAAAGAAGAAGGACAAACTAGGGGGCATTAAAGGCAGTGTGCCCGTCAGAGTAAGGCCGGCGCCCATGTATTAAAGAAGAAGCAAAATGATGGGATGATATGTGTTGAAATCACAAAATCAGCCCTAGTCAAGCAATAGCCGTCCTTCAAGTCTCAAGGAGACGAGTGCCAAATGGTTAAGATCGATAGTGCATTTCTAAGGATAATCCCCAATGGCGAAGAAGAAGACCAGTAACAATGCCAAGATGATCACCAACTCTCACCCCAATATACATCATTGAGCATGTGATCCTTTCGTTTTTCAACCCATGAACCTAACCTACGTTACGTCCTTCGTAAAGTCTTTTCTGATTAGGGCACTTGAGTCAACGTAGGAGCTCATGTGTTTATAAGCATCGCTCGGAGAAGTGCAAACAAGATTATTTTCTATCCTATTTCGCAGAGTTCTTGACTTGTAAACCCGAAGATGATCTCGAAGTATTCATTTCATAAGCTTCGACTTGGACAGTTTCATTTGTCAAACCATCGACCAAGCCTATATTACAGTCTTGATGAAGACCTCTCAGATTGGTAAGGTTGTACTGTTTGCGAGAATACTCGGACCTTTGTCGACATGATGATGGTAAGACAGAGTGATTCTCACAAAATAACCCTTTTAGATGAGAGTGAACAAAAGTCTTTTCTAATCGAAAGTATCTCGTTTAGCATTTTCAAGATGATTCATGTTATGAGTGGAAATTGTTTTAAATGATAATTATCCCCGGTGGAAGGTTGGCGATGCGGACATGTTAAAATTGTTACACATGAACTCCAATGGTACTGATCTTGAAGCATGTGTTTTAGAGA